AAAAAAAAAAAAAAAAAAAGCAACTGTGGGCCCTGGTTGGGAATCCATTGGATTCCTTCCATGGAGGTGGCTCTTCCACTGTGAAGCTCCATTTTACACTCACCCACACCCAGAGACTCCCACCCACAGCAGCCCCAGCTGCCCAAGGACAGGGCACACACTGGAGTTCTACACACTTTTACTGGACGGGCAGGGGCAGGGCTGACAGTGCACCAGGCTCACAGCTGGTGAGGTTGCTGATGTGTACGCCCTTCCCGATGCCCCATGATCCACAGGCCGAGTTAGGATGCACTTTTCCCAGTCCCACCTGACTACAGTAGTACAGAAAAAGGGCCCCTCTGAGTGAGGCTGCAGGCAGTGCTGGCCAAGCAGGGCTGTGTGACTTAAGCGTGGCCGCTGACTCAGAACAGAGAACATTACAGGGTGGCAAGGGAGGAGGGGCAAGAGTGTTAGGCATGCTGGCCCCACCAGCCAAAGCTGCTTCTGTCCTTGCTCTCCATGCCACAGTAGGTAGCGTGTGCATGAGCCTTGGGCCCAGGGGCAGCCCCCTCACTCTCCATCTTGGTTGGGCTGGATAAGCCCATATTCCACGGCTTTCTCCAGGCAGGCTGCAGCAGCCCTCGAGACGGGACTCTGGTCACCCTTGGCCAGCACTGACAGGATCTCCATCATCTCGCTCTCCATCAGGGTGCTGGCAATCTCCCTGGAGGCCTCCACCATATTCAGCACCACCACAGCACCCCGGTGCTGCAGCTCCTGGTTAGGGCTCAGAAGCAGGGCCTGCAGGATCTCCAGCCAGTGTGTGGTCTGTGAGAAACAGGCAGATGTGAACCCAAGCAACAGGCTTAGCCTGGGCAAGGAACACACCCACACCCTCAGGACCTCCCCCGTCAGCTGCCACCATGCTGGGAGTTCCTGGTCCACCCCTCCTCCCCGCCGAGCAGAGGCACTGACCACTTGGGGAATGCGGCTGCAGAGCGCGGGCCGCATGGAGGTGAGCATGGCCAAGCCCCCAGCGGCCGCCCGCTGCAGCAGCTCATCCTCCTCCCCGCTGTACAGCACCAGCAGCTTCAGCCGGTCATTGCCCTGGGCTTCGAAGAGGTCCTGCACCTGTGGCCAGATGTGGGGAGTGGACCATGTCAGTGGGGTGCAAAGCCCAGCCAGGGCACAGGTATGTCGGCATCCCCGCCTGTCATGAGCACCGGGACCAACCCTCACCTCCGTGCTCATGGCCAAGTTACACATGCACTCTGTGGCTGCCCGGCGGATCATCTCATGCTCCTCAAACATGTAGCCTTCGACCATGGGCACAGCCTTCTCCTTCAGGATCTTCTGCCTGCAGGCCCACAGGAGGAAGCGGCGGGATACAGCTTAGACATTGTCCCTCCCTTTTTTTGTTGTTTTTTTTTTTAAGAAATGGGGTTTCACCATCACGTTGGCCAGGCTGGTCTCGAACTCCTGACCTCAGGTGATCTGCCCACCTCAGCCTCCCTCAGGGATTATAGGCATCAGCCACTGCGCCTGGCCCAGATATTGGCCCTTCTAACTCTCATGTTTAACTGTAAACCCTATGCCCTCTACCTTGACCCTAAGCCTTGTGGGAGGTGACTGGGTCATGGAGTGGGTCCCTCGTCGCTTGGTACTGTCCTCACGATAGTGAGTTCTTACAAGATCTGGTTGTTTCAAAGTGTGTGACATCTCCCCTCACTCTCTCTTGCTCTTACTTTCACCAGGTCACGTGCCTGCTCCTGCTTCGCCTTCTACTACGAGTAAAAGCTCTCTGAGGCCTCCCCAGAAGCTGAGCAAATGCCAACGCCATGCTTATACAGCCTGTGGAACCATGAACCAATTAAACCTCTTTTCTTTATAAATTACCCAGTCTCAGGTAGTATTCCTTTACAGCAATGCAAGAACAGATGAACACAGGCAGCATCATCAAGACTTCCTACATTTGCTCCACCTCTACACCCACACCCTCATGCAGTCAAGTCCTGGGCTGAGGATTTTCCTTGGCAACATCAAAGGACCCTCTTGCTGTGAACTACAGTGCTTGTTACCCTTTTTTTTTTTTTTTCCTTTATTTGAGACAGAGTTTTGCTCTTATTGCCCAGGCTGCAGTGCAATGGTGCAATCTTGGCTCACAGCAACCTCCACCTCCCAGGTTCAAGCGATCCTCCTGCCTCAGCCTCCCAATTAGCTGGGATTATAGGCATACACCACCATACCCAGCTAACTTTGTATTTTTTAGTAGAGATGGGGTTTCTCCATGTTGGTCAGGCTGGTCTTGAACTCCTGATCTCAAGTGATCCGCCCACCTGGGCCTCCCAAAGTGCTGAGATTACAGGTGTGAGCCACCGAGCCCCGGCCTCATTTGAGTACTGACCTGACCAGGCCGGTGCATCATCTTAGCTAATCCTCACCATCGCCCTGTGGTAAAGGTGCAGGTGTGATCATCATCACTGCTGCTTTGCAGAAGAGGAAACGGGCTGAGTAATTAGTCCCATGTTCAAAGTCACAGTAATAAATCTAAAACATGCCGATATGGCACAATGCTAGTGGCCAGGTACCCATGCAGTCTAAGTACACTTTTAAGTGTATTTTCTCATTTCATTCTCCTCACCACTATGCCATGAGGTAGGTACTATAATCATCCCATTTCACAGAGGGAGACACTGAGGCAGAGCAGTGAAGTAACTTGCTTGTGGTGACACAATTCCATCAGGGAAGCAAGGCAGTGTGCCTCCAGAGCCTGCCGTGCCATGGTGCCTCTCGGCCTGGCTCCTCCTCTCTAACAATGCCAAGGAGCCACTGAGGCCACAAAAGCCAGTGCCTGGGATATTCCAAATCCTGACGCCTGGCCCAGGCCCCGCATCTCAAGGAGGCTTACCGGAGCCTCTCGCTGATCCCCGCCAAGTTTGTTAGGGCCATGAGCGCCTCGAAGTTCTGCAGGCCTGAGCAGTTCAGGTGCAACAGGGACACAAGGGGCCGGACCACCTCATAGATCTGCAACGTGCACCCTACCTGTCAGGGCTACTTGCCGCAGTCCGCACAGCCCCACCAACCCGGCGGGGAGAAGCCCACCCGCAGAGAGTGCTACGCTCTCAGGCTGTCCTCCCTACCCAGGCCTCAGCAAAGCTGAAACTTCTTGCTGGTCCCAAAGGGCAGCTACAGCCCAGCCCACAGGCCACCAGGGAGTGGAAAGGCCAGAGCAGGAAGACACATACCCGCTCGCCAGGGAAGGTCATCTCAGGGTTGGAGGTGATGGTGAGCTTGGCAAGGGCCTGGGCTGCCTTTGTCTGCCCCACGTCCGTGCCTTCCAGGGCCAGCGGGATCAGCGCCTGTAGTAACAAGCCCATCACTGCTCAGGACGTGCCTGGGAGTGTAAGACCCAAACCATCAGGCCCCAACGCCCTGACTGTGTCACCCTCACCCTCCTCCCTCTCCCAGGCTGAACTCCCTATGCAGACCCTCTCACCCAAACATTTCCTGAAACCCCTACTAAGGGCTGGACATGGATTGTGCTGGGCACCAGAGCCATGGAGGTAAACGAGACAAAGGAATAGGAGGAGGGC